AGTAGTAGTAGGAGTAGGAATAGGAGTAGGAGTAGGAGTAGGAGGAGGAGTAGTAGTAGTAGTAGTAGTAGTTAGTAGCAGGAGTAGTGGTAGTAGTAGTAGTAGTAGTAGTAGTAGTAGTAGTAGTAGGGGTAGGAGCAGTAGTAGGAGGAGGAGGAGCAGCCGTAGCATCAGCATTGGCACTAACACGAGCGGCAGGAGTAGTAACCCCCACGAGGTCAAAGCGGCTGGCAGGGCAGTCGCAGCTCCAGATGCGCACATCCCCAGCAGTGCGGCTAGCCTGGGCTGGCAGGACATCGCATAGCTTCTACACAGGTTTTTACATGGCACTGACCTGCAGACGACGATCCAACATTCATGAAACCTTGCTGGGATCCCAGGAGCTCGGCGGCCCAGTAAGGCCCTCCGCTTCCGCGGCGGAGGAAGAAGGTGTCCTTGAGGCCTCGCGCTTGAAAGGCAGAGCTAAAAGAAGGCTAGGGCTGGCACAGGTCCAGAAATGCTACATTGTCCATCCTTTGGGTTTTGTCTTTACTCATTTTTTAGAAGTCGGTAAACGCAGTTGAACTAAGGTTAATGAATCGAAATGCACACCGCGGTTTCACGGCTTTCGGGGAGGTAGTGGGCATAATGCAACTTGATCATCAACTTCTGTAAAAGTTCCAGACGTCCAATTACATGGAGGACTTAACGGTAACAGTAGGATGCGCTTCCTGCTTGTCTTGCTTCCGGAAACCTCGGTCCAGAATTTGGCGGAATCTGGAACCCGGCCCCCCTAGCAACTGAAGCCACTTGCGCTTTGATCTGCGAGTCGTTCTGTTGACAGAAGTCAGCTCTGTGTGTTCTCGTCAGATGCTTTTGCTTGTAACAGCTCTTCATTTAAAGCAGCCTATCTTGATGGCTTTCTGTTCGTGTCATCTGGTCGCTCAGCGTGCGATACAATTCGCATGACGATCAGGCCGCGATTGAAGCAGGCAATTGGCGTCTTGAAAAATCTCGCGCTCGCTTTCTGCAGCCTCATCGCAACACCCCACTACCCACCCACTCTTGCAGCCTTCAGAGAGGTGGTAGGGGTCGATTCCCTGTGGCCCGTGGAGACCCGGAAGCTGTGTGTAGAAGGAGGCGAAGAGCATGAAGTAAGAGAAATGCACAGCTCCTGCGGATGCAGGGTCCGGTCTTAACGTTTTTCAGGTAGAGGGTCCCAGGTTTAGGCCTGCTGGCAGAAGGTTTAAGGGCAAAGCACCAAAAGCTTGAGAGTAGCACTCGTAACCCAAAAGTCCTATTCCACAACCCCACCTGCTCTGGACGCATATGCAGGCCTCACACCTCGCCTGGAAAAGCTTTGGCTTGACTGCTTCCGACCCCCACGCACAGCGTCCAAAAACCCTCGCCTGAGAGCAGCTCCGTCGGCTCCCAGGACATGGCATCCTCGAGGAAAGGCCTGACCCTGGCCTCTCCGAGTTGCGAGTCTAGGAGACGAGATCTTCATCTAGCTTTCCCGGCACGTTCTTGCCGGTTTCGGATTTTTGTTGGCCAGCCTCGGGGGCCCGGCCGTGTTTCAAGCACCTGTAACTTTCTCGAGGCCTTCAGGCTCTTTGGGTTGTGCGTTTAGTAGCTTCCGAAGAGGTGCGCTGGGGAGAGAAAATGCAAGTCAGGCCGAGGAATGTCGAGGATCTTGCATTAAGGAAATACCGAATTTGCAGGCTCGAGGGCTCGCGGTTGAGACACTAAGGCCATGATGTCGGCCCGGTGCGTCCTGCGTAGGCTCCTGCATCAAACCCTACGCCGGCTGCAGACTAGTGCCCTCGGCGGCCCGGCCTCAGCAACTTCTAGGCCCTGCGAGGCCCCCGTCATGGTGGCACGGAGAAGGGAGCAGAGCGGAGATGCGTCCTGCGTGTCTCCCAAGCGCAGGCGACGAGCCCCAAGATAAAACTCGTTGAACAAGAAGAGTCATTGTTGGGCCAAGAACCCAAGGTTCAGCACCCAGCGGTAACAACAGGAACAACAAGAACACGAACAATAACGACATAAAGCCCGAGCCATTCTCGGAGATAAACGAGTCTGTTAGAAGTCAGCTGCCAAGGGTGACAACTCCTGAAAGCACCCAAACGCTTGGCACGGCACGGCACCCGCAATGCCGCCAAGCATCCACGTCGCGACACCATTGTACAGGCTGCGCCGGGCTAGGACTTGGCCTATCTTTGAGACCGTCGTCCATGGACTCCTTCGGGGTTGCATTTACATAGACTGGAACAAAGCCTGAGTCAAAGATTTGATGGCAGAAGTCCGGAGTTTGGAACGTTTACGGTGTGGGCTTATAGCATCACGTCAAACATGTCTCCGCCGCTTGAAAGCACTGCTACTCCAAAGCTTGCATCCGGGAGTGCAAGCTGAGCTTGTGAAAAGAAAGCCCGGTTTTTGACTTTCGGTGTGGCAATTGCGCTTTGCTTCGGGTTCTGAGATATATGCTTCCTGGATTGGAGGGGGGACCGGGGCGAGCTGAACGATGGCAAACTGCAAAAAAGCTTTCCACAAGCTGATTCTGACAAAATTTCAGCTCTCGGCTGTCGTGCGTTGTGCAATGCAAGGGTTGCTAGGATACCAGAAAGGGCCCATCATGTAGAACCAGAGGATCGCTAGGCCCGTTCGAAGACAAGTGAACAAACAACACATTGGAAGAAACCCCGCCGCCCTTAACAATCTAAATCTAAGCCCCAAGAGCACAGCCCTCAGTCCTCTAGCGAGTCCTCCAAAGTGCCATCAGCGACTTCGTCGCCGGAGGCCGAAGCCGTGGCCAGGGCTGGAGACACCTTTTCATGTCTTCTAGATCTGTTGAGGGTGTCGAAAGCAGAAAAGGGCTACATTGCAGGACCGCCGGGACTCAACAAACTAAACGAAGACTAAAACACATGAACAGAAACATACTACATGTTTTGCCTCCCACCCTGGTGCTTTCTCTGTCAGGCTGAGGACCCCATGGAAACTGTAATTTAAAACCCGCTGCCTGTAGCCTTGCCCCTTCCTGTGATCTCCATGACGGGGGGTGCGCAGTAATTATGTCACGAACGGGTTAGCTTACTGGCAATCGCAACAATGCCCACCATGGTAGTACAAGTAACAATAACGGATAGCATCATCCGAAAGTTTCCTCGCCCACCTCTGAGTTCAGACTCGAATCAGAGGTCAGCTCTTCCACCTTTGGCTTTCGGCTGCGGGCTGAGGCTTATCGGCCTTTTGGTTTGGAGCAGCTTGAAGTTCTTCCCTTCTCCTGCCGCTTTTTGCCTCCTACATAGCAAGGACGAGCCCGCATTGCAGAGGTAATGTCTATGGCTTTGACATTGCACAGCCACCCTAATTTCGAGGCATGCCAATTCGCCAGAAGCATCCATCTGGGAACTCCCAGTCAAAGAAAACGACTATGTCCAACCTAGGACGTCGCCCTTTCAGCTTCACAGTTTGATACTCCACTCACCTTTGCAGATCGATGCTCCAGCCCCGCCAGCAGTGGCCCTGAAGTAAAAGTCATCCCGTTGAAGCCTTGGGTTCGGCTTCCCGTCGCTTGCATCTGTGCCTTCTGCATTATGTCATTATGCCGTAAACCCAAGCGCCGGAAGCCCTAAACGCATCCAGGTCCCTCCATGCAGACTTTTAGGCCATGGCCATTTTACATGGTGTCTACATCTGCTGCGTCGCTCCTGCAAGGCCTGGGAGCTGTTTCTGACCAGCCTGCCTCGACCTCTCCAAGGCAGCCTGGACTTGGGCCTTCCATGGCGCGGAACGCAGTCGCAGGCTGCCAGCAGACACCGTATCTGCAATGCTGCTACCGATTCTTCGGATTAGGTTCCTACCTGACGTTGCCAAGGTCTTTTTCCCCCAGCTGGGATCTTGGGTTCCGAATCCTAGTTTAGGGTTTTCTCATGTTGCCATCTTATGAAATCCCAGGAGTCGTCTACTTAGCTGCGGACGGAACCAAACCCGACAAAGAGGACTTGCCTCAATCCGAAACCGGAATTTTCAATCCCCAAACCGTAAGCCCCACCGTGCTCAGCACAAACAACTACAAGCAAGTACAAGGACGTCCTGAGCCAATGAAGGCAGGCGCCCGAGCTTCGAGTCTTTGACAACGCTAGAGGCATGGATTCCGGGCGTTTGTCTTGCAGGCAAATGCTGAAACCCGCGAACTACGCCACGAAGCATGGGTGACTGAACAGGGAGAGTGCATGCTGAAGGATGTCGGTCTTAGGCTTTCTTTACAGGGCTGCCCACGGTTTGTGGGTTTTCGCGACAAATTCGATTGCTTGACCTTGTTCTTTTTAGAGGGCCTAGGCTGCAATGTAGCTGCTCCAACAGGGCAGGCATGGCTCGAGAGCATAACCAAAAATCTGAGAGTGGAAGCAGGAGGCACGAGCAGAAGGCCCATGCTGCAGGTTCGGAAATCATGCACCCACTTTTTCAAAAGGCCTTGCCTTGCGAATCAAGGGCGTGCGCGGATACTAACATACTAACAGGCAGCCTGAAGGTTCGTGCTTTGGAGTGCCACGAGCAACGCATAACCGTATTGGAACCTCAGCCTGAACCCAATCTACTTTTGCCTGCAGGCTGGGCATGACGTTGAATGTGCCACGTCTAAGGCATGAACCAAGAGGAAGTGGAAGTGAAAGGCCGCATGCTGCAAACCTCTTTCGCTATGCTACTCGGAACCAAAAAATAAATAACTAACTAAATAAATAAACAAATAAATAAATATAAATATAAATATAAATATGAATATAAATATAAATATAAATATAAATAAATAAATATAAATATAAATATAAATATATATATATATATATATATATATCGCTTTTGCACGAAGTCAGAGCATCATGTCATTTGTCGCTACCGTCAACTTTTTGTCACCTGCTTGCGCTTAGATTTTGTGAGAAATCAGGCAGTAGTAAGGTTCGGGGACTTAGTGCCAGGTGCCAGCAGATCAGCTCTCAGCTGATGTGCTGGCTTAGCGCAGACGATTGAACGATCCTAATCTTGATTCACACTTGTATGGGTGATGGTGACAGTTGCGGAGGTGGTGCTTCGTGTCAACATAAACGCGTGAAGTGCTAACGCTATCCAATTACCGAGAGGATTTCCACACAGTATCACCCAGGCAACTTTCCATGGCCCGCCCAAAAAACCGTAAGGCGGGTGGCTTGAACTGTCGAAGAGCCTGTAAGAGAAACACATGCTATGAAAACAGAGTTCTAGTACTCACCGCAGCGAACCTAGCGTTACTGCTGAACTCTGACAGCATGCACAGCTTTTTCAGAGCACGGAGTCAAAGGCATTATCTTATGCCCATCAGCGATGCAATCCTGGGCGATTATCGTGCTGAGGGGGCTGGGTGGTGGCTGCAAGGGTCGGGCACTTGTAGTTTTGAAAGTCACGGTTTAAATGCCGTGGCCCGTCGCGCGCGCAGCAGCTGCGATCAGAAGGACGAATCCAAGCCAGGTTCACAGGTTCACAGGTGCTCGTCCGCTGGGTTGGGCCGATTTCCGACTGTAGTCCCCAGTAAACTGACCGGACAGGAGGTCTTCAAATGAGAAAAACACGCAAGAGATGGGGTTGACTGATGGATCGAGGCCTTCAAACCCCCTCCCAACTCCCAAAAGCACTTGCAGCCATGAAACATCTTTGCTTTTCTTGCCGCCCGTGCCTGCCAGCCACAGGGCTCGCCGACAAAGTTGTCACGCCATCGCTGTTCTACTATGTCTCACGGGTCTTCGTCTAAGTAGCAACAGGTGAAAGAACATGAATGGAAGAGGAATAATTAAATGTCGTCGCCGTCATGATCATCATCGCCATCATTGTCATCATCATCACCACCAGCACCAGGACCAGCATCAGCAATCATCAGCAGCAAATCCAGGTAGAGCACGGGCAGCAAGCAGTAGCAGCGCAAAAGCATCGGCTGCAACATAATAGCTTTCAGCATGAGAACTTGTCGTGCTTCCCTTCCCTGCTTACCCTATGTCAAAACCAAAATCCTGCACCGGAAGTTCTCAGCTTCGACTATGTACGAGCAGGCCAGGAAGCCCGGGTAGAGTTCAGGCCCAGGCTTGCTTCCACGGGTGCTGCAGCTGGCGGTAGCTGAGTGGTAGGGGTGGTTATGAACTCAGCTGGAGTTTGCCTCCATATCGTCTATCAGTTGGCGATGCAGGCATGAAGCCGAAAGCCTTGCCGTACGTCAGACGACTGTCGATAAACTACGCATTTTTTCTGATCCAACCATAAGGCCTGACCACGCGCACGTCCATCCGGCGTCGGCGAGCCTTGCTTAACACTAGGAGAGACTTCTCTGAAAAGGTCGTTCGCAGCTGCTCATCCTAACACATCAAACTGTAAAGCGGCATTCCTAGGTCGCAAACACAAAAACCCCCAGGCCGCTTTGGCATTTCTAGCCCAGCAGCGGTAGGAGCCGCTTGAACGGACATTCGGCGGTCGCCGCCCTGATGGCTCCGGGGCTTTGGACTTACTTCATTGCTTTTTGCTTAGTGCTGGGCTCCTGCAGTGTTCTGCTGGCTTCTTTCTCTAACGTTTACGGCGTTTCTGGGACCTCGTAGCCTCAGTCACGGCATATCGGAAGGCTTTCGGTTTGACCTGTCAAGTGTCGGGGTTATGGATGGGCCAGAAGGTGCCAGTGCACCCGCTTCAAGAATCCTCTGCATGCGCGCGCATGTTCTTTTTTGACCGCAGGAGCTCCAAATCCAGAGCGCCCACACTCCGACTCCGGATCCGAGCGGAATCGCTCGTCGCTCTGGATCCAGGCCGAAGCGAAGCCGAGCTTCCCAGCGACCGCGGACAGAAAATGAGCTAATGCATGTGCACGCTGGAACCCTCAGTTGCCCGCACAAATCATTCCATGTCCCCTTGTCTACAGAGCTCCTTTTGGAAGTTTGGGAGGGAGGGAGAGCCTCCAAAGCCCGACCCTGCACAGTACGAGTATCCTCTAGATTCCCGGGGCGACTCGGCCTGCCTCAAACACCAAAGCCATCAGAGCTAAACCTGAAGATTTCTGGCCCCACCCTCAGGCACCTCGATCACGCGAGGCCGATGCGCTTCGTCTCCGCCTCCGGCTCCGGCTCCTGGCACTGGAGGAGAAGGCTCTTTCCGTTTTTTCACACCTCACTCTCGCACAAGGCAGGCAAGGCTCGTAGTTCCGTCACGCGAGATGTCTCTTTTGTTGAAGGGGGTTCTGGTTTGGGTCTCAGGGTCGAGGGTTCGGGATCCGTGAGGTTCAAAGTTCAGCCTTCACGGCACAGGCTTCCTAATCCCGAAGTCGATGAAAAATCAGCTAGAGGAGTCCCAAATGCCAACAGCTGCTGTCTTGGATTTTGAAGCCGACTGAGCCCGGAATCGCCCGCAACATTACGCAACAAGTCTAGAATTTCAGATTTGTCGTGCTTCGGATGCCGTTCTTGCAATGATGAGGTTTGGGCAAACACCGGGCAACCTCAATAAGAAACCCCAATCTCCACCTACTACCGAGGGCATCCCTCACCAGCAGCTCCAACTTTTGGTCGCAGATGGGTCAAGGGGGATTTGCGCTTGATCGGCGCTTGTGCTTCAAAGCTAGCAGCTAGCATTCACGACAACTTGTGCGGTCGCCATAGGAAGTTGCATCACCAGGGCTTAGTGGGCACGATCTGATCGCGACTTCTGTCGGACGATGTTTTGCTGCACTTCAAGCCCTGAGCCCCTGAGTCCATGCCCTTGGGCCCGAAATCACGAAGATCACTCAGCGGATTTGGGCTTTAGGCCCCGGGGTTTAAACTTTGGGGTTGTAAAAAGGTTGAGGAAGCTCACTACACTAAAGGACCCTGGACTTTAAAAAATCCGCTGCGAGGTAGCCTGGATCGCGATGTGGCCGCGAGGCGGCCGCTGCCCGCAGCACTTCGCAGGATCTTGTGGGCCTCCACGCAGGCACCCGTCTCAGGCAGTCTTGGGATTCGAGGGTGAAGGGAAAGGCCTGACGGGTCCGTTCCAACGTGTTTGGAGCAGGGGTCTGCTTAGTGCAGCCCTGGCAGCCATAACATCTACCCTGCTACTTCTGTGGTGATCTCTGGCACCACATTTGCCTCACCAGGTGCATGTGTGGGAGACCGCGTTTAGCTGAAGAGGCCCTCGGTTCACGAGCTGGCCTAAAGCCTCTCGGGGTATTCCGAAACGCAAACTCTAAGTAACAAAACACTTCTCTGAACGTCAACCCCGTGCCCAAAACCCTCAACGTGCTGACCTGCAAATCCCAAACTCATCCCCCTGCCTCCTGAAGGAGCTTGTCTCCGCCCATTGCCTTGTCACAGGTGCATGTTCAGTTCCTGGGCTTGATCTCTAAAGCCTAAAATCAGTAGTTCCGCCGTCTAATTTACATTGGACCACAACTCCCCAAGGTTGGGCCTCTACGAACCGAGGATCAGCATCGCGACCCGCGGAAGCTCGAGCCATGGCCAGTGAGGGAAGCTCCTCCTCCGAAGGCGCAAAACCGACGACTTAGGAAGCTAGCTTTCAGGGTGTAAGTGTTACGGCTTTATGGAGATGCTCGGATGCAGTGTCAGCTTGACCCCCCCCCACAACGTGGGAAATCGAGTCAGTAAGGCAGCTGGTTTCACAAAATGCCTGAAGCCACTAGCTTAACAGCTTAAACCCTTGTCATGCTCACCTAGCTTCGGCTTCGGCCAAAATCGGAAGGCCAAATGAAACCGACGACCGAGTGTCGGAGCTTACAGGAAACGGCACTTTGCCTGCCTGCTGGCAGTGGCTCACCCTTGGACCCACAGACGTGGACTGTATGACGACCTTGTAGTACGAGAAAGCTGTGAGCGAGCAGGACTTTAGGGTTCAGGGGTTTTGTTTACGGACATATGTGCTGACAGGGGGCTGCAGGCACAGCTTTTGTTCTTGTAGGAACTCGTGTTCAGCTATGCTGCCATGCACTGCATCCAGCATCAATTCCTTAAAGCCAAGCCCTGACGAAAAGCCGCAGTTCGGCCTGTCCTTGCGTCCGCTGAGCTTGCTTGCAAGCTGAGCTCTCGCATTCGCTGCGTCATCCTCGTCCTGACAAAACGCCGGAGGGGGCTACGCCATCAAGTCTGTCCTCCACAGTTTAGGAAGCACTGACTTGCTTGAGGTTAAGGTTTAGGGTGCGTTGGCTTCTGGCATTCAGGTTGCAGCAGTCTAAGTCTCATGCGACAGGTGTGCGTCCGAATATGTCAGCGCGTCTATATTTACAACAGGTGCGGCTACCTGAACCAATATGCATATGTGTGCGAGTATGTCTGATGTACATATGCATATGAATATGAGTGGGGCTCGAATAATCGACAAGTGTTGGCGCCACATCAGGAACTTCTTTGCAATGTAAGTCTCGCACACGCCAGGCAAACTTGTGATGACTCGTGCGTGTTTGGCACCGTCGCTGGACTACCGGAATCTTCCTTTCCATCACTGAGCCTTCTCTGGTATCCACAGCACTTGTGTTCGGCACCAGACTTGTTACACCTCATGTCCGTGCTGTGTTGTGAGAACTTCTGCATATCTGCATTAAGACCAGCAGTGCGCACGTTCAGCTCCACATCCTGCATGTCGTTTATTTCAATGAAAGCCGTCTGCCGGGGTGGTTCTCGAACGGCGGGGGGAGGCGGCATGTATGAATGGGTTTGTATGTATGTAAAGATGTATGTATGTATGCATGTATGTACACCTACGTGTGCTGCGCTCGGCATGGGCTGTCTGTTTTGCCTTGTATTTACTCAAGCTTATGCTGACCGTATGCACAACCAAGAAAGGATTTCAATAAATCCGGTTTCTGTTATCGGGGATTTGGCCGGGAAATCCTTCAAAACGAAACAAAGGGCGGTCGCGGCTCCTGCAGCTCTAGCACTACCCTCAGCTTTAAGTCCCGTGACTCTAAAACCCTCATCGATATACGTCCTCCAGCTGAAAGGCCGCACCAAGTTTGGCCTACATCATGGGGCTTGTGATTTCGGGTCGGAGCTTACAATAGGATCCTACTGTATAAGATCTACTGGCTTATGTCCTTCCAGATTAGCGTCCATTACTAGTTGACGAGGACTGAAGGCAGCTAAAGTTAATCTACTTTTGAGGATGGTATTGACATAGACTGCAGCTTCGGGCCCATCAGTAGGTGACGACCACGACCACGGGCCATCACCAGGACCATGACCGGCAGCACCAGCAGGAAGGAGAAGTACATGGTAGTGGTAGTGGTGGTGGTAGTAGTAGCACTTGTGGTCGTCGTCATGGTAGTACTAGTAGTAGTAGTAGTAGTAGTAGTAGTAGTAGTAGTAGCAGTAGTAGCAGTAGTGGTAGTAGTAGTAGTGGTAGTAGTAGTAGTAGTAGTGCTACTACCGCTGCTACGTCTACAACAACGACGACTCCTGCTGCTGCTGCAACTACTGCCAGCTCTCAACAGTACGCGGCTTGATAATGTATTAAGTCCCCGCGGTCTGGACACTACGAGTACACGGCCACTGCCACTGCTACTGCAACTGCTACCACCACCACTACTGCTGCTGCTGCACTGCTCTACGACTACCACTACTACTGTCACTACTATTACAACTACCATTGAAATCACTACTGCCACCACTGCTGGTACTACTGCTACTACTACTACTACTACTACTACCACTACTACTTCTGAAATGTCCTTGAAAAGCTCGAGCATAGCCCACTAGGAACAGCTGCCACTAATGGAGAGAGACGGGGCTGCAAGACAAAAAGCCGGCATTGGCCGTGCCTTCCTCTTCGCTTCGCGGTCTTGCTGTGCCTTCTTTTCGACTTCAGCTCGCCTCTTTTCCTCCTCCTGCTTCCTGTATCTCTCTTTCCAGTCAAGATCCTTGGCCAAACACTTTCTAGGATAGTGTTGGACTATGCACTAGTTCCCGCCGTGTGAGGGGCCAAACAATTTCAAGAACATGCTATGCCCTTCAGGGACTGTTGTGGTGAACCAAAAGCCCTGTCCAAAGACGACCAAAACAAATGCGACAGTCATTGCCACCATATGTAACAGACGCAGTCGTCGTAGGAGTAGCATTAGTAATAACAGTAGGAGAAGCAGTAGTAGTAGTAGTAGTAGTAGTAGTAGTAGTAGTATTAGTATTAGTATTAGTAATAGTAGTAGTAGTAGTAGTAGTAGTAGTAGTCATAGTGCTCAGTAGCAGTAGCAGCAGAAGTAGCAGTAGCAGCAGCAAGAGGAGTGGAAGAAGTGGTAGTAGTGCTACGACCAGTAGTAGCAGCAGCAGCAGTAAAAGCAGCAGCACTCGTAATGGTAGGAGCACGACTAGTAGCACTAGTACTAGTACTAGCAGTAGTAGCAGTAGTAGTAGTAGTAGTAGTAGTAGTAGTAGTAGTAGTACTAGTAGTAGTAGTAGTAGTAGTAGTAGTAGTAGTAGGTAGTAGTAAGTAGTAGTAAGTAGTAAGTAGTAAGCAGTAAGCAGTAAGTAGCAAGTAGTAAGTAGTAGTCGTGGTCGTCGTCGTCGTCGTCGTAGTAGTAGTAGTAGCAGTAGCAGCACCAGTAGTATTAGTAGTAAGCAGCACTAGGTACAGGAGAAGAAGCAGCAGTTTGCGGCAGCAATAGCAGGAACACCAGTAGCAGTAGCAGGACAGGAGTAGTAGCAGTAGCTTCAGCAGCAACAGCAGCAGTCGAGGAGCAGGAGCAGTGGCAGCAAAGCAGCAGCAGCAGCAGCAGCAGCAGCAGCAGCAGCAGCAGCAGCAGCAGCAGCAGCAGCAAAACTACTACTATCACTGTATACTAGTACCAACATCAGTCCTGGTACTTGTAGTACAAGTAGTAGAACTAATGCTAGTACTAGTACAAGTACTAGCTGCATTGCCACTTCCGTGGCTGCTGCACTACTTCTGCCAGTGCTATTGCTGCTGCGATCACTGCCACTATTGCTGCTGTAGTAAGACCGGTACCAATAATGAGATATACAAACAACAATAATAATAACAGGCAACAATAACATCCACACCAATAGGAGTATCACTAATAAGGATAACGGTATGAACATCACTATGAGTACGAACAGCAATAACAACAACAATAACAACAGTTACAAGGCCAGACAACAGTAAAGATAATGGTAAGAATGACATTAATAATAGTAATGAGAACAACAGTGCTAATACCAAGAATAAGAACAATATTCATAATCATTCATCATAGCAGTGATGCTGCTGGTGATGATTAAGTGCAGAAATAGAGCACGCATAAGAGTAGTCGCCGAGATAATGATAGTGTGTTACGAGTACTCATCTGGTCGCTTCCTATCCGCAGCGCATCACCCTGCGAAACCACGTGGTCGGCTTGATCGCCCAGCTGCTTCCTCCTCATTCGCTTCCCTTGACTTGCTGTTGTCCGGGCGACCCGCATCACTGGAGACAGCACGGCCTCTTTCGCCGAACAAGCTGGATCAAAGGTAAAGGTAACCAGTCACGAAATGTGCCAATCGCTTGCGACGGGTCAAACCGTGAGACGACTCCGAACTGACCCCGAATATTCTGACCGATCTCCATGCACACAGTGGTCGACTTACTGGCTTGGGTAAGGGTACATACAGCACACTTGTCCCGAACATGTTCCTGACAAAAGCATACGGCTACTTCCTGCGGCAATGGGCAATATGTGACAGGCCCTGCTACTGCCGTTGCTGACCTACTCTTTCTGACACAAGGAGATGCGTTTGCAGCCCACATGCGGCCAGTGAGCTGCAATCACAGACATGCTTAGTGTTGCAGGCAGCTCAGTTCATGTTGTCGCGGCTACTTCCAGTGAACCAGTTCTTTTCCGAAATTTGGGGTCGCGGACCCCATGCTCCGGGGCCACAGTTGAAATGAACATTGACTGAGAATTTCAAGTGTCAGCAGCTTGCCCTTGCCACAGTCTGGCTTGTACTGGTTTGTAGGCGAAGAAGCCGCACTCTCCAGTCGTATGAGCTCGTGATTTCCTACGCGGCTCACGGAGCTGTTGCTGTCGTACAGCTCTATGACAAGCTGTTTGTTGGGCTTGCATGACCTGCTACATGCAGTCATGTAGTAGTGAAGATCAAGGTGTCTTGGCTTGCAGCGCTAATTCGGAATGCCCAGTTCGAACGGCCTCTTGAAGTGCTACTTGCCAGTCGAATGGCCCGCCCAACTCTACAAAGCACCGAATATCGTCCGAGGTGGAGTCGCGCGTCTGTGGTTCCTACTTGGCTTTCTTCGCTCACCCCAGGCTAGACAGGGCCACATCAAGGAAACGTATGCAATCTTTGTCCCCCTTCCCCATGCGGTAGCGCAAACAACACCTCACTGCTCTGTGAAATGGGCTGACAAAGTTGCACACCCTGTGCTTCAGAAGACCAAGCTTCCCTGAACCGGGCACCTCTGCTGGGCGATACAGCACTCTGCTTCGCGGGCTTCTTGGCAGGGCTTGGGGACCTCAGCTTGCAGAGGCCGAGTGCTTCATATGGCTTATTGGAGCGAGGTCTCGGCCACACTCCCATGTGCTCATGGCATGGGATCTTTAGGAATTGAGGACTCGGACAGACTGCTTGCTGCGTTTACAGCATCTGGAGACGTGGGAATCGTCGACCACAGGGTCAGAGCGAAGCATCATCAACATGCACCGCGAGTGCTTTTTGGTGGGGGCGCCCCAAAGCATCGACAAGAACACGAAGTTTATAACCCTTTTCCGTAAAGTTGAACGCAAGAGCCAGACCTTCTCAGGAAGTTCACGTCTGTTCTGTTGAATTTTAGTGTAAAAGGCGTGCTTTTTCCAGCAGTCGCTCTCGACAAGCAGGCACGGAGTCACGTAGGACCAGAGGGCGTTGTCAAATTGACAGATTCGTCACGAGCCGGAATGGCCAGTTCAAGCTTACAGCCATAGGACAGGAGGCTTGTCTCAGCGGACTTAAACTTCTGGAGTAACATGAGCCTTTTTCGGCCCAATCCATGTTACGTAAGCCTGTCTTTTCCGTTCTGTGCAGGGCTTTACTTCACGGTGTGAGTTCTCTACGATACAAACTTTGAGCAGGAGCTGCGAAGAAAACTATGACCGTCTCACGGCGCGACGGCTGCATAGAGGTGTCAACATATCTGGGAACCTTTTGTGATAAGTTGCTGGCCGAAGGGTTCACTTCATGCTCTGGCAAGAGCTCCAAGGTCCGGAGACACGGTAGAGACACGAACATAGGCGTTTACAACTTCTCTGTTCTCGTTGAGCCGAGAAAACAAGCACTCTCAGTGTTAGTCCCATAGACAAGAATTATAAGAAGCTCTGGTATTGGAGACTTGCGGCCTCCGCTTTTGCGAGCGGGAACGGCTCCTGGCAGTCTGGTCTGAGTTGAGTGACCGGTTCCACTGCTTTGTACGGTTGAAGATGTAGGGGAGGCTCAGGTTAAAGGGCTTGAAGCTTCTGCCTGTCTTGTGGGTGGTTCAAGAGATGAAGTTTTCGGAGTGTCTGTTCGATCTAGACGAGGTCCGCGCGAACTGATTGAACTCAGGGTGCAAAAGTGCAAAAAACTGATGGGGCCCTAGGCCCTAAGCTCTTGCCTCTTTCTGCGCTTCGGCATCTTCGGGGCCTCCCGCAAGATTTTAAGGAATCGAGGGAGGGTGTCTGCTGGGGAACGGCGGCACGGGTTACAGCGCCAGCTTCTTCCACTTAGACAAACTACTGTACTCCATGTCGGGAAAAGCCCAGCGGGTTCGAGACTGACTGGGTTTACAAGCTTGGAGTCTCCACTGTCAGCCTACCAATCCGCACAAATCCCTGAACCGTTGCCCTTCGCAGACCTGACCAACGGCATGAGCGCCCCAGCCTCAACTAATCTAAACATGGCATGTTTCCCAAGACCATTAACTCTCTCTCTCTCTCTCTCGCTCGCTCGCCCTCTCTCCAAAATCAACAAAACGAGAACCCGTGAAGCCTCAGGCGGCGTCTCGTCCCCCGAGTCATCGTCTTTGGCCTGCCAACGGAGATCTGCTTTCTTCAGGTTCAGGGATTTTGGGCCTAACATCTCATTCGCTCCGTAATTTCATGTGTGTGTGTGTGTGTGCGTGTGCGTGCGCATGCTTAGATGCCACATGATATTGCGGACATCGCGTGCTAACAAGTGAGTATATTACTGGAGGTGAATTCTCCGACTTTTGATGCCCTCCGCTTGACGCCCGAAACCGAACAGCACGAAGTCTGCCACATTGTCCATACAATAGTCATTCGTATATTTGTTTCATTTTCCGCATTGGAGCCTGAGTCGACGCTCGCCTATCGATGCATTCAGGTGAAACGGGAAAAACGCAGACCGAAGTGCTCGGGAGTCGAAAACAAAGCCAGCCGCGATCGGCCGATGTTTGGCTGGTCCGAGGCTGGGCCCAAGATCCGGGCAGCTGATACGAAAACTGTTCCCTCTGGTGCTGGCGTCTTGGAGCACCACAGGAGGCATCCGGACGTGGCAGGGCCGGAGGCACTCATTCCACGCGGCACGGTAGAGCACATCCAAGGCAGCAATAGCCTGCTGTCTGCACACTTCAAGATCTTGGGCCCTGAGGATCATTCCCTTAAACCTGCTTGGCTTCGTTCTGATGAACTCATACCAGGTGTTCCATGCCTCTGCGCGGTTTGGCAGCGAGCACGTGCTGTGGGTCCAGGAAAAGACGTAGGCGCGCGCAGCCTGTAAGGCACCAAGGTAGGACTGGTCGGTGCGAAGCATAGCCCATACTTCGACTGGCCCTGACAGGACCAGCTGCTTGAGGTGCAGCAAACGCTGCGTGTGCAAGGTGGTACTGGGCCCAAGAAGACCTGTCAATGCCAGCACAGTGTAGGAGCCAACATGCTGGCTCTAGTGGGCTGGGAACCCGCATATGGCACGGTACATGCCAGGGCATCTCTTTTGGAAAGAATGCCTGGACAACTATGCGAAAGAGAACGTGTGCCCATGATGAGCCTGGCCTAGTTTCCCTTGACATGAGGACTGGCAAGGTGTCCCCTTGCAGAATGAACCAGGACTGGTTGGAAATCTCGTCAGCGATCGCCTCAAGCCATCCTGAAGCCCCAGCCTGGCTCAGACCAGTCGGATGTTTTGCATACTCTTGCAGCTGTGGAATTTCCTCGGGCGAAATTCCAAGCCCGGTGTGCCCATGGGGAGGAAGAATGCCACCGTCAGGGTTCGCGGCAACAAGCTGACGTACCACTGCATAGAATGCTGAGGCAATGTCCGTGAAAAGCACAAAACAAGAGCGGTGGAGCCCGGCATTCCACCTCAGGAAAGACCTGACTAGATGTGCCCCATAGCAAGCATTTTGCCACTTTTTCCTCCCACTTGCAACGCCGGCGTATGGTGGAGGAAAAGTTCCCGGATGGCTGGCCGAACGGCTTGGTGGAGCAACTTCGCGAAGCCCAGGAGAAGGAGAATTTGCCTCTAACAGGCACAAACATCCTTTGGTCCTTTGCCCTTGTGGAACAACGCACTGAGGCCTCCCTGCAAACCAATTTCCTCCGGTCCGCGGAAAACGACTTTCATCGGAAGGGGAAATGCGATCTCAGCACACTCGGTCGCAAAATGTTTGAAAATCTCGTTCGGGATGCCATTCATGCCTGCTGCCTTGCCCTGCTTGGCTAAGAGCATGAGGTTTGTCAGATCCGACATGTTCGGAAGGGAGGCGATGCTTTCCGGTGCCGGCCAGGGGGAGTCCGGCGTAGAGAGGAGTTTGTCTCCTAGCTTCTTTGCCGACATGCACAGTCCAGCCTCCATGGAGGCGAAGTACTCCCTCCATCTGCACTACAATATTCCTGCCTCTACTGGTAGCAGGCGATTTGGGCCCTCATGAGTATATTGCAACACACATATATATCCATGTATCCATCTCTCTATCATTCTATCTATTCGTAGAGCCCATACCATATGCATATATATATATATATATGTATGTATATGTATCTATATGTGCATCTCTTTTTTGTCGCCATGGCTAGGGACAAGGGGGAGACCCCCCATCTCTCTCTCTCTCTTTTTTTCCTTTCGCCAGGGCTGTGGCCCCCTACACACACACACACACACTCTCTCTCTCTCGCTCGCTCGCGTTGACTCAGACAAGACTGTCATATCTAATATCACCGTGGCAGATTGCACTGAAAGGTATGAGACTGGATGGATCCGTTCTTGCGGCAGCAGTTCGAAAAGCAAAAGCAACATCAGCCATCACAAACGTTCACGTAGCATGGAATCAAGAGCATGGTCTAAGGCTAGCTTTCCGCGCTAAACGCATCTACAAACCCCTTGCATCTTTCTAGGCCAGAAGCCCCTGCCACTTCTACCGGAGTCCAAGACCCTCTCCAAATCCGAAGCCCCGCACCAGCCCTTACAATGAGCACCTCTCCGGCACCCCCAAGCTGAAACAGCTCCACCAGCTTGCACCTCCACACAATGGAGTGACAATGAAAGTGGCTGCTTTCTGCTTATACATTTCCTCCTCTGTGGCTGTGTCCCATGCGCATGCGGATCATAAACACTGGTTCTGCCGAGCCCGGTTGCCTAATAACAAAAACAGTTGTCACCTCACTTCAGCAACAGGATCTTGAACTTAGAACCGTAAGCATGCCAAATTCCGGGTATTGCCGTCGTACGTCAAAAACGAAAAAATAGTGTAAAAGCAGTTGTATTGTATCTGAAACCCGGAGCTCGCCTGGACAAAGTGATGCGCTGCTTGTCAGAGAACAGGTCCATGCTCTCTGCGACAGTTTGAAGCATCCGCTTGCCGTACTTCTCGGCAACTCCAGACGAGAACTTCGGATGGGTGATAATGTTGAAGACATCCTGCACCTGAGATGCAGTTCTTGGCAGTTCAAAAACAGTACATGACATCAACCCTATGATGCGGCGGCTCTGCTTCAGCTCTTCTCCCATTCCAGCCCATGTCCAACGCAGCATCTTCTCTCACAATCTTCTTAGTTTCCGTGTGATTCGGTTCTCACATAAGGCCCAAAATCTCTGTGGCATACTATACACTCTCGCTTTCACGCTACCACGCCGCATCGAAACATGTCGTGCATCATGCTACGATGCAATAGGACGTCACGACGGACTAGTGACAAGTGCCATGCTTGTGCTGTTCCATGCCAAGCCATGGCTAAGATCCCCCAAACTCCCCAAATACCAGAGGATCTTCCCCCTCCCACCGGGCAATGGGGGTAGTTTACCCGGACGGCCGGGCCTTCGCCTTGCCAGGCATCGCTTTGAGGGCCTTCTCCAGCCTGAGTGATGTTGGAGCTCTCAGACTCGCGACGCAAGTGCACAGCCTATCTCTCACCTTCCGAGTTCTGTTACAGTCTGAGGCTTGCTTGCAATTTGCTCGACACATAAACTCCAGCCTCCAACCACCAAAGTCACGAAATGAAACTGCTCAAGTACCAAACATACATGGTGGCATGGTGGTAGGCAAGGAAACCTGTTGAAAGTCCTGAGGCCATGGAGCCTGGAAACATGTCAATAAGACAACCTTCGAGTCCAAGCAAGCGTGGTGCCAAAATCTGTTCCCTGAGCCCTCAACGAGGTAGCTGCGTCTTGAATGAAATCTACAACCCTATGCCGAGCCCTGAACCTGCATCCCGGGTCGGGTTCCGAAGCGATTCAAGCGGCCACTCCGCTTTGCTCGAGCCCGGCATCTTCAGCGTCAGGCGCAGGTCGCAAGTCACTGGCACCTGCGGGTTGAAGCTCGCTCGCTCTCGCTCTCGCTCTCGCTCTCGCTCTCGCTCTCGCTCTCGCTCTCGCTCTCGCTCTCGCTCTCTCTCGCTCTCTCTCTCTCGCTCGGTGTCTCGTTATCTTGTCTCTGTTTGTGTCTCTCTCTCTATCTCTCTCTCTCTCTCTCTCTTCTTCTTCCACTGGGCTTAAGGGACAGGTTTCTCTCTCTCTCTCTTTCTCTCGTTCTCTCTCCCTATCTATTTCTATCACTCTCCGTCTATATATAAATATATATAATGTACTCAGTGTATGGAGTACTGTATGGCATGATGTGGTATTGCACTGTGCTGCATTGCGATAAACGATGTTCAAACCTAAAGCAGTATAGCAACTGAACCATGGTTTGACTATCCAACCCTCTTGTATTGATACATGTTAGTAGCATGTGCTGCACTGCATGTCATGTGGCTACATTAACTTACGCCAACGACACTATTTACTTTGTATTATATTATAGTTTTACGTTGCAGTACAATACATTCGAGCTCATCAGGCTGCATCTTTTCCAGTAAAGTACGCGGCATTATGTTACACTATACCACATGATCTTACGTTATGTCACTCCATATTTCATAATGTATCGGTATAGGACTCACTACATTGTGCTGCATCTCATCATGCTATAATGCAGTCAGTCACGCTACACCCCATAACATTTAATATTGTTACATGGTTAGAGCGCTTACGGCCATGTATGCACATATGCACGCACACGCACACACACAAATAGGTTAGACATACATACATACATACATACATACATACATACATACATACATACATGCATACAAACATACATACATGCATACGTACGTACATACATACATATATACATACATGCAGATGTATGTATGTACATGGAAATGTAGGTATGTAGTGTATGTAAGTGGGAATGCATGTATGCAGCTGTGCATGTAAGTAAAAATACATGTATGCAGCTATGAGTGTTTTATGTGTGTATATATGTACACATGCACAATACTCGCCTGTGTAGATGCAGGACAATATACAAAATGTAGCACATATACTTCTCGCACAGCTTAAAATCGTAACCTAAACATGTACCCGAAAGACTTTTCAGCCACAAACCCCAAGTTCTGTTGAACTCTTTGACCCCAAATCCGCACTGTGTCCGCACCTCCCCCCCAGTCCTGCCACACTATGCGATGTATACACACGCACTCATGCACACACGCACGCATGCACGCACACGCAGGCACCCCCAGACACCCACCCACCCACCCTCACCCACACCCACAACCACCCACCCCCACACACACACACGCACACACGCGCGTGCTCGCGCGACCTCATGCTTCAATGTTTATACTTGCTTCTCCATCTTCCTAATAACTGCCTTGCACCCTCGGGCATTCGATTTGTAGGCCCAGCGGCATATGCCACTTCTTCATCCTCACAGAGCCGCCTCGATGCACCTGGGGGTCGAGTCGCCGGATTGCTTTTCACTGGACATGAAGATGCAGGAATAAGGAAAATGGGTTACAGAGTGGACAGCGATGAATGATGACAAACTTTGACGACAAAGCGCATGACCACGGTCACGAATGGTCCCTGTGGCTTCGATAAAAGATGGCGCTGACAGGAACTGTGACTACGAGGAGGATGACGACAATGATGGTGGCGGTCATGGTATTGTCATGATGCTGAAACGGTGAATGCTGCTTCTAGGGTGATGAAACTGCGGATGCTGACGATGATGATCACGACCTTGCAGTTGCCGACGGCAGTACCCAGAAAGATGTTTAGTGTAACCATGTGGATGATCGGTGCTGAAAACTGGCCTTTACCCGATCGGCAGGAAAGGTTCTCGCTCAATGGTGCGAGGGTGTGTGGATGACAAAGTTCACGCTTTCGCGAACACCTTCAAGAGTTCGCGAGTGCGTGTCGCGAGGCCGTGCAATGAGGCAAACCAAGAGGAGATTACACCGACGTCGTGCAGAGGATGCTGAAGCATGGCACGAAACGATGCACTCGGAGTTTTGCAGGTATTAGTGCAGTAGAAACATGCAGCAGTCAAGAGCAGCGGATTCATGCCCCGGGCACCTGAGTTCCGAAGCCTTGCTACCGTACGTTTTACCATTGACATCGGCGAGATGTGGAAACTGGTCATTCAATCCTTCCTTCAGGGTGATCCCATTCTACATGCCGTCTTGTGAAGCTGCATTCTGGGGCTTTGGCGTGCACCAGGTGCGGATGCGGCCACGCCAAGGAGGGACAAGCACATCTGGCAGATTTCAGGCCACCAAATAGAACAGGTTGGCGAATCTGCAGCATTTACTAGTACATGCAAATCTCCTCAAGTGAGGCGACCATCCATTTGACATTATTTTATTATTATTATTATTAGTAGTAGTAGTAGTAGTGCAAATCTCCTCAAGTGAGGCGACCATCCATTTGACATTATTTTATTAGTAGTAGTAGTAGTAGTAGTAGTAGTAGTAGTAGTAAGTAGTGAGTAGTGAGTAGTAAGTAGTAAGTAGTAAGTAGTCAGTAGTAAGTAGTTAGTAGTTAGTAACTAGTAAGTAGTAAGTAGTAGGTAGTAAGTAGTGCGTAGTTATTAACTAGTAAGTAGTAAGTAGTAGGTAGTAAGTATTAAGTAGTAGGTAGTAAGTAGTAAGTCGTAAGTCGTAAGTCGTAGTAGTAGTAGTAGTAGTAGTAGTAGTAGTAGTAGTAGTCATCGTAGTAGTCATCGTAGTAGTCATCGTAGTAGTCATCCGTAGCCGACACCGTAGCAGTGGCAGCAGTAGTAGCAGCAGCAGCAGCAGCAATGGCAGCACTTGTGAAGGTACTCGCACCAGCACTAGTTTTAGCAAGAGGTTGGACAGCGACAAGTGGCCAGGTCTTTGAAAACAATGGAGATCAGAGCAGAAGTGCTCGGATTAGGATGCACCATCAGACGTGGGATCGCTGGCCAAAAACATCATCTTGTTCGTGTTGACCCACCCTAGCAGAAGCGACAAGGATTGCCGGCTGTTCTTTGGCTTGGATAGATCTCGATTTATCTTGCATAACACAACTAGGCCTGAGTTAAAGGCTTACAGAAGCTTTGCAGAATTAAGCGTGACTGCCGGCACTTGCAGACCCCCCCCAGGCATATAGCACGACATGATCCCAGCACCTTTGCAAGCTTTACCAAGCATCCAGGTCGCTACAGGCGCTACAGTGTCCTGAGGAAACTGACCCTGAAATCTCGCTGGGTATACCAGAGCTGCCAGAACAAGCCGCATGTCCTGTCAGGCTTTGTGTTGCAATGGCCTTGAAGATTCAGGCGCGTCTCTTCTTCCACCCAGACCTTTATGCACGCATTCGCCTTTGAATTAGTGTTCTAATATCCAGACAATATTCGACGATAATCCCTGCAAGAAGGCACGTCCTCCACCCCTGCGGAGTGCCACTGCACTCCCGCTAAGCCTGCCAGCCCTCCCCAGCTTCGAGCCACGGGCAGCTGGAAGCAGGAGGAGCTTACAATCTGAAATCCTTGCAGCATTGAAAGACGGTGAGGCTGGTGACAGCTTTTTGTTCGCCGATGCTTGGTAGCTGGAATGCTGCTAAGCTCTCTTCGAACACGATTGGGCAGCAGCTGAAGTGCCTGGCCGGCGAGGCGACATCTTGTGGAGGTTCGGTCTGTTTGAGGCGACAGCGGATCTTCCGGCTGGGCATCTTATCTAGTGTTTTGTAGGCTTCAAGGACTCTCTCCGGAAGTGACGATACCCTAAACCCTAAAGACCCACTGAACCCCCCAAACGTCGCAAAACCCCATCTGATCTGTGCAGTAGACTCCAATACTTTCGTACCAACAGCATCTTGGACGGAAGCCTGGCACCGCCAAGAGTCGAAACAGCCTCTTGCACTCGATAGGACCCTCAGTAGATTAGTGTATAGTAGTATGCTGTAGGATGTATTAATGGTAATACTATGGAGCAGGCGCATGAAGAGCTAGGTGCAGGGGCCTTGCGCAGAATGAAAATTCTAGGGCCTTGAAACCCTGACTCCGCCGGAGATGCAGTGCCTTCGCACGCTGCGCACCGAACACGGGGCGAGCATGACCCGGGGCAAGCTCTTGTGGCACCTGAAGGACCTCGTGCTACCACTGCATCAGTGTAACAGGATGACTAGAAGGGTTCTTACAGGGCTGTGGCAACTGAAAGAAATCAATTGAGAACGGCAGCATTCAGCCTTCATCCACATATCTTGACAGTTGCCATAGTTGACACAACCTTCGATCTCAAGAGCTTGATTCACAACAAATTACCATCGAGCTGCGTAGTTTGCCTTGAACACGCCTACTTGGGTTTCTCTACTCGCAAAAACCAAAGACACATCCTCTACGCCAGTAACTCGGGCAACGACATTATCGCCGGAGAAGGGGGCCATGGCGACCTCTCCACCGTCGTGTCTTTGACATTATTGAAGGTATGTTATCAGCTATCATGAACGTGTTTTATGTATACTGTATACGGAAGTTCGAAATCAGAAATCAGAAACCTACGCATGATCATCGAAATGCTAGCCATTCAGCGGATCCACTAGTAATGGAAAGAAAAACGCCACTATGATTGTAATTCAGTCTCGCTCGGGGCCGAGACTTCGGGGCACAAAGTCATGCGAATTTCCCAAGTTGCTCTGAAGTCTCCATCATACGTACGTTGAAGCTGAGAGAATCATCTAGCTATGTCTTTCCAATTAGGCTTCGTCCGATCATGTTTTGTCGAACGAAGTGCTTTCGCCGGTCGAGGCCCCGGCCACAACCTCCCCGAAGCTGTTGGGGTCTGAAGCACCCAAAATAGCACCACGTGGAGCACCGAGGTCACGCACTGCGCGGCGAACGGCACCACGAGGACCTGGCAGTGAGAGTGCAAGGAAGCAAGGGTTTGGAGCCGATACAGGGTGAGGAGCTCGGAGTGATGTTGATGGCTGGTGGAGATGGATGGAACACCGCGAGTGCCATAGCCGTGACGACCAAGATGCTCACACTGTGGAAGTTTTGCTTCTGTGGTCGATCAGTGTCCCCAGTGCCTGTCTCGTCACCATCACCGCCTGCAGAGGCTTCGTCCTGAAGAGTTTTGACCATCATGGAAGCCCTGACCTCGACTGCTCCCACACCACGGCATGCTGACATGTTACCGAGGACTTCTCAGATTTGGTCGTTGAACAACATATCGATGTTGAGCTTCCTATGCATGCTCTGCTGAAGATGTCCTCGCTTTCCGCATCGGACCGAGTGCCTTCAGAGCTGCCTGTGTCACTGTCAAAGCGAACTCCTCGCGCATGTCTCGAAAGCGAGGAAAACGCGCAACAAAAACGACGACGATGACAGGGGTGCATGTTGTCTCCACCCCTTTTGGACGAAACCTGCGAACATCCTGTGACCCCCATCCTAGGAAGCAAACGTCGCTATAGGGGACAGGAGGGATGCGTGCCACATGAAGGTATCAAGGCAACGCCGTGAACGCCGATGCAATGCTTAAAGAACGCACTAGATCAGCAATAAGATCCCCTTATAGTCTGGACAGTAAACAAGTTCTATGCATTGAAATGTTTACAGAAGTATAGCACACTCCCAAGTTCTAGCTTAATCAGCAAGGCCCTGCACTACCTGAGAGAGTACCGACCTATAGATGGAACTTAGTGCAAAGAACGCATGATTTCACCATAGAAAGCATCCTTGCAATGACAACTCTTTTTGAACCCAAACTCTGCCAATCAGCTGGGAAGCAGCACGTCCAGACTATTGCATCTAGGAAGTCAAATCTAAACCCTTCTACACTTGGACTACACATATGCCAGGAACCCCAAACCCTAAACCGCCCTAGCGCGACACACGGAGGCAGGGAAGAGCTGACGATGCTCCAAGTCCTTCCCAAAACCAGGCCCTTCGGCAAGTAAAGTGCACTCAGTAGGCCCATGCCGAAAGTGCCCCAAAAAGAAGCCAGAGGCTCACACCCGAATATTAGTACCCAGGCTAGAAATCAGCATTAAACTCCATAAAGGATCAGAGCCCTGAGGCTCAGGGTGTGGGTTCTGAGTACTTGGAGGCCCTTTTGACTTAGTAAGTAGGGTTAGCAAGGNNTTATGGGGATTATAATAGGGCTCCTGGGGGATACTAAGTAGACTTACTAAGTCAAAAGGGCCTCCAAGTAAGCTAGGCTGACCTGATCCTGGCCAGATACAACCTTCGAAGTCCTAACCAACTTGTTCCAAAACACATGACACAAAACTCACGACTGTAAGTTCCTTACCTTACACTTTACACCCTAATGTTGCACCCCAATCTTGCAATTCATACTTGGAGGTTCAGGGAGTAGAGGCAGAGTTGTAAATTGTATGTAGCCGATGTGCGGTGATCCGATTGGAGTTCGAAGCCTGCCTGCAAGCTTCTTTTTGTGTCTTGATGCCTAAACCCGAAGCTCTGAAACCCCAATCAATGTAACCCCGGTTTCGATCAGGATTGTCGTCCTGCGCTCGGAGTTTTCAGTGGCCTCTTCGTGCCACAGGTGACGATGAGCACTGTGCCACCTGCGTTTATCGAGTGAAGTTTGCCATGCACGTCACGCGGTGCCCGAATGTTGAGAATGAGGTTTTGGGTGGCGCAATGATAAATCTATTCACATCGGGACTCGATGGGGGGCAGTGTCACATACTTGAAGTTCACTAGATACATCACCGGAACTGGGCCGTCTTGCAGGGCTGTGTGCGCGAGTTTCGGATCGAAGTTCGAAGATGTTGAGAAGCAATTTGATCTTGGCTTTCACATGTGGACTCCGGAGACTCGTTGCCTTTTGGTTTATAGCCTTCGACTCACCCTCGAACCACGAAGCCGTCGAGCCTGCACCCCTGTCTGCGATTTCGTTGTTTCAGGCGGCTCGGCACTCGCGCAGCACCAACTGCCAAACACACCATTCGGGTGCCGGACACACGATTCGAGGCATGGACCGATGTCTGCACAGGGCCTACATTGACAGATCTCTACAACCGAATCGTTTTGCGTATTCACCTGTCGGCATGCTAGGTATGTATAGAAACATGTTGGAGATAGCGAACTATAGGCTTGGCTGTACGCCGCTGAACTGTTGCCTGCGGTCAGTGGTACTAGGTGCGGACCGAAGCCAATGGGACTAAGTGCGGCAACGCCTAAGCCGAGGTCGGCTTCGCAAGCACAGGAGCCATGCCCAGAGAACCCAGTACCCCTTAACTAAGGAATATACCTTAAATGAGCCTTAAATCATAATATTAAGGTCCCTGGTCCCTACAAGTTAAGGTATATTCCTTAATTAAGGTGTATTGGGTTCTCTGGGTGTATCCGGACGAGGCCTAAGCCTGAGACCTGCTTCCCAGGGTTGACAGGTGTCGAGGTGACTCAACGCGGCTGGGCTTTAGGAAAGCTTCAGTGAGCCCGAAGCCACGGCAGCCTGCCCCACTTCGTGCAGGAACATCGAAACTCGGGAAACTGAACCTGCAAAGTCGGTTCCAAAACCCAGAACGCACGGATTCCGGATTTCCGAAGATCCCGTCTTCGCAGGCCTTGCCTACACGACCAGGATCTTCCACCACTTCTGGCAAGGCTTCCGGGTCCGCGATCTGCAACACGTCTAAATGAATGCCAGTCCGAAATCATGCCGGGCAGTTGGTTCTGCCGTCACAGTCAGGGTGACCGACAGCAGCAAGGTATATTGCCATGCGACGATCAGGATTTTACGCAGTTCCAATTCACTCATCTAAATATCTGCGGCAAAAGCGTGACCTCTGACAGGCAGACCCTCAGTTCAATGCTATAAAACTTTCAGCAGCACAGACTGTAGTTCAAACAAATAAATTCTCCGAGAGGCCCCGCCACTCATCCCAACATGCACGTGGCTCTTGTCCCCAAACTGACATCAACACATTAAATCAGTATCCGGGTCCCGGCATATGCATGCCACGTTCGTGCCGCAGTTCTTGTGCTCGGAAGCAGTCGAGAGTCTGGAAGTAGTCCAGCTAAGACTTTGAGAGGCTTGGGGAAAGTCCAACGTTACTGCCCTAGAAACACAAAACCCTAAACCTAAACCCGGAAGCCACACCTGCCTTTCGACGCACCCGGGCGAGCTTGTCTGCGTCCGCAGCCTGCATACATACCGGTTCAGATACGAGAGGCCGATTGAGCATTAGGTTTAGGGAAATTGAACAAATCCAGAAAACTATGTATACTTCCGTGAACACCTTTCGTACCCTGTCCCGTCAAAGACTTTCGCACTTGAAGCCTCTATCTCCTTGGTGCTGTGTGGTTGTCCGGGCCTTCGCGTGCCTCCAAGTTTGAAGGTCTATGCCTCTTTGTTAATCACTTAGGACCCTTACGCTGTAAACCTTGAAACCCTTAATAACTTAACCCTATAACCACTATACATCTCTAGTCCCTAAACGCCTCATCAACTTAACACTATAACCCCCCTTAATCGCTTAAAGCCCTTAAGAACTTATCCGAAAACCCTTATAATGCCTTCTTCTTAAAACCCCAATATAAGCCCTAAAACCTATAGCCCCTTTTAGAAGGAACCCAAAAAACCTTAAGCCCCCATAAATCTATAACCCCCCCAAAAAAGGTGCCCTCTCCTCAGCTTCTTGGAGCTCCAGCTTCGATGAGATGCGCACGGCTTCTTTGAGCTCTGCAGGCGTGGCGCCTCGGGGGATGGTTGGGGTCTTTGGGGGTTTACAGGATTTTGGGGTTTTGGGTTTAGGGGGTCTTGGGTTTTAGGCACGAACAAAGCTCGAACCGGCAAATGCCCTAGCCATTTCGGCCAGGAACCCCAAGCACGAAGTTTGGGACACTCAAGCAGCCAGGCAAGTTCAACACCACCGCGGCCGTCAGTAAGCACCTTCACCGGATGCTTCAGCGCTCTTCGAATGACATGGGTGTTAGGATGTGTTAGGGGCATATCTGGCCCTTGCTGCGCACGTTTGAAAGTCTGGCGGTCGTCTGTGTGTATGTGTGTGTGTTTGTGTGATACAACCCCCTTTGTTCTCAAGGTTTCTGCGTGAAGCGACACAGAGCAACAAGAAACGGCGGCTGCCGCATGCAATTCAGTAGCACGAGGGCTGCCTCCTGCAGCTTACGACGAAGATCGCGCCTCAACACCACTAACCGAACCTCAAGCAACTAGTTCAATCTGACTCAAACTTACTTTGGCCTTGGCCTGCGGATATAGGTCGCGTGGTGACGGTCTAATATACCATAATATACTACAACGAACTACGATATTGAAGCTTGCATGGGTCCCCTGCTGCAGTTTTAACTCAGGGCTCAATAAGAAGTTGGAAACAACCTTCCCAAAGCCCAAACCCTAAAGCACTGAACAATAAATCTTCAGGTCTTTGGTCGTCCTGAGACTATCACGAGGGACCCGGGGAATCCGCCTAGAAATCGGAGGACGACTTGAAAGTTTTAGCTCTAAGATGTACAGGAAGTGAATGTCTCTGTAGGATCATATAGCGCCTACACCCTGAGGCCACACACATGATGTCGCTCATCACCAAGCCTCCCGTAGGATGACGTCACGGGCCAAGTTCGAATCAGAAAAATAGAACCTGCGAAACCCTTGCGGTGCGAGCAACTATTCTCAACTTTTGCCCGCAATCGGAATCTTTCATTCGGGTCCACAATATGAGAGCTTTGCATATGTATGTATATATATATATATATGATATGATATGTACACACATCCTGATGTGATGGGGTTCATAAGAGCGGCTGGAACAGGTTGGCCTCCCTCGCTTTCTACAGCACCACCCCATCCCTGTCCTTCATAACAAGTTGCTGCGGGTAAGTGCCGGCTCCTCAGCCTCATTGAGGAACCCGTACTTACCCTCAGTCAGTTTCAGAAACGACAGTGCCAGGTGCATCTCAAGACAGCTCTTGCTGCTACTGATCTTCCCGAATCTGCATCCTGCCGCCCTGAACGCCCGCAGTCCCGTCAAAGTTCTTCGATACCCCCTGCCCCTCAAAACACAGCAGCTAGGATGCATACCTTCCGATGAATTCCGATGGTGGAGCTGCAAGGAGAAGCTTCAACACCCAAACCACTCCCACGCGCCAGAATCACGTGCGTCGCTGGTCCACAACTCCCAGACTCAGGAACCCCGAAACCCTAAAACCCTAAACTCAGGAATCCCTAAACCCTAAACTCTGGACTCTGGAATCCTGAAACCCTAAACCCTGAACTCTGGAATTCTAAACCCTAAACCCAGGAATCCTTAAACTCTAAGCCCTAAACTCGGAATCCCTAAACCCTAAACCCTACAAACCACCTAAGCCCCTCACAACACCCACCATGAAAGAACCAGGATCCCCGACCCCTAAAGCCCCCCACTAAGTCCGCCCCCCTCCGCATAATATACCGGCCTTAATAATCAAAATAGGGTTTGTTAGTATTTTTATACGACAGTTATAACTATAACAAGGAACCGCAGATACGATCATTATACTTACAAAAGGGAACCCCAGAGTAGTATTGGTAAATATTGAAGGCCCCTGTATCAACCAAGGCCCGAGCTCTAGTTGCCGGCAGATGTGTCCCAGTCGAAGCTGGCGCTGGGATTCATCTTCCGCTCCAGGACCTGTGAGCAAACGGGACATACAGGAAGGGCCTTCATAATTAGAATAGGGTTTGGGGATATATTATAGTAGAATTACAACAAGGAGCCCCCAGAATAGTATAGGTAATTATTCAGGCCCCTACATTATCCTTAAGGACAAGATGAACCCTAAACGGGCTTAAGGCTTATAGACACGATACGGATTCATAGTATAAGGGTATAGGGCCCCGCTTTATAAGGCTCATGTTGTCCCCAAGGTTTACGGGGCATTCCTCGGGTTGATGCTGGTTGTGAACATCGAGTGTGTCAGCAACGGTTCGTCTAAAGTCTACTCTTATGCCCCACCAAACCTCATGCTCATGTCTTGCGACCACGAATCTTCACACACGAAGTCCCCGAGCCCGAATGCAAAAGCTTGCCGACGCCAGCTCCAGCAGCTATCAGACTACTATACATAGTATGCAACCCTCACAGCTGCTGGTATGATTCCGACACAACACCCTCACAGACACCATAAATCCCGAGCTTCTTGGAACCCTTTTCCTTATCCCACATATAAACCCTAAACCGCTCTGCAGCCTCAGCTCCGACACCGAGAGAACAAGCGAAACATCAAGGGCAGAGCCTTGAACTTACGTAGCCGCAGGCAGGCACAGTATAATGTACTAAACTACTATAATGAAGTATGATATTGAATAGCGTGCTATCATGTCACGAAAGTACCTCTCAACTAACCATTGGATCCATGGTCCCACAGGGTTGAAGTGTTGAGCAAAATGTCCTGCCCATAGTCTCCTTTGTGACTCCTTTTCTTGGATAACCCAAGATTAGGCTAGTCAAAAGCAGGAACCACAATGGAGACTTTTGGCAAACCTGAAACATAGCAGAGATGCCTGCAAGACTTCTGAACTGGGAACAAGGGGTCTCACGATTCAGGATGTCAGTCCTTCGGTGGCGTCGGCCATGGATTCCATGGCACCGCAGGGTTTCTTGAAGCTTTCGGCTCAAGCATGGTGTGGTTGGTACAAGATTTTTGGAAGGCAGTGCGGCTTGGAATGATTGTGCTGCAAAGGCAAAGTCGAAGCGGTAGAGAGCTTCTGGCAGCAACGTCTCGCGAATCCCGACACACCCTGCAACCAAGCGATCTCGATCTTGACTGTCGATACGTAGGACATGAAGCACCAGGTGTAGATGCATGTATACTGTAAGCAAAGGTAATTACCAACTTATCTCTAGGGTCAGTGGATGCTTGCTAGTCGGCGAATCTACTGTGCGCGTTCGCCCTGTAGAGCCACAAAAGGCTTCCGATTTGCGATTGGTGACCTTAATAGCAGCAGCAGCCATACCACAGGAAGCCACGAGAGTCATAAGACTCAAGATACAAATGGACGAGTATTGCAATAATCAGAAAGCAGAAACAACGGAACCCCAACCATCATGATCTTGGTATACTAGAGCAGCTAACTTGTCCAATTGCCGGGCATGTGCTCGTGATCAGAAGATCTGTAGGAAGTTGAGTATTTGACTGGAGATGCAAGCTATTTTCAACGGAATGGCCATTCATTTTGTTGTGAAAAACGCACTTGGGCTACAGTACTATAGTAAATCCCGAGCCCGAACAAGTGTTGGAAGGACATCCAGGTTTTCCCGCTGCAGCTTTGCTGTTCGAGACCTCGCTCGCAGCTATAAAGATATTTCGATGCTGATCGCCAAGGGACCATGCGAAGGCTGGCCGCTCTGCTCTACGGCCAAAAACTATTCTTGCGGAATTCTCGATGCGAAACCCTCAGCAATCAGCCGCGGAAATGGACAGCTGCAAAGCATGCACGGGATGATATTGCCTGCAGGAACTGGTGCTACTGGGTGTAGCTTAGCTCAAGGGCTCTCCACGGCACACAGGTGCCTGGAAACCTTGTCACGTGACACGGGCGACTTCTTCAAGCTCAAACCCCCGAGGCCAGTTGCCACTGCAAAACCTTCAACACCCTGAACCACAACCAAGATGCAACAAAATGGTTCCGGTTGCCGGCGACATCACCACAGCGAGAAAGAGGACATGCTACATTGAATTCTGGCAGCTCTCACTACCGAGGCCTTGATTGAACAACGTTGGAAAGATACCATGCTTTTCGTCATAGGGTTTGCATGCCCGCCTTCTTTCGCATGGGCCCTTCGGCAAGCTATTGTTCAGAAAATACAAGACCGGCGCCTTTCTAGCCACAGTGCCTCAACACCACCTTTGCAGTTTGGACTTTTGCCGAGGATCGCACGAACTCACAGAGAGAGCATTGTAGCCTGCAGAATGCTTTTCCAAACGAGTCATACAATGTCATACATCAAGTATCATACATGCTTCTTCCACTGTCACGCGCCATCAGCCTGCTTTTACGGCTACCTGGACTGTCTCTGGGAAAACGGGCCTTTGTGAAGCTCCTCTCGTCGTGGCTTCGAGCAGCGCCAAAGCCCTGAACTGTAGGGGGGGCCAACATAATGTAGGGGCCTTAATAATTCGAACAGGGTTTTGGGGCCCATTGTACTATAACCATAATAAGGAACCCCCAAATAGTATAGGTAATCATTTCGACCGCTATATCTATTAGTTTCACAGGACCTTTATGGGGCTGGTCACGGAGCTGTCGCACCTATGGGTTCCCCTCGTGAGTGCTGAAGAGATTCACACGGTTCAGCGAGTTCGGGCTGTAGTGTAAGATGTAGTGAGGGCAGGTTCAACCCAAGCAGCAATAGCTGCAGTTTAGTAGTAGTAGTAGCAGCAGCAGCAGCAGCTGTAGTAGTAGTAGTAGTAGTAGTAGTAGTAGTAGTAGTAGTAGTAGCAGTAGTAGTAGGAGCAGTAGGAGCAGCAGCAGCAGCAGCAGCAGCAGCAGCAGCAGATGCAGTAGCGACTT